ACAAATATCCTCTCATCCATGATTTGTAACTTATTTGGTGATACTACATTATCACTGGTGCATAAGCACATATAACAACAAAAACTCAACACGCTCGTCAATAACAATGTGGCCTTAAAATGAAACATGCATATTAGGCGACATTGTGGCAATGACCCTTCTTCAATAGACAGTGACCAGAAAGAGAGAATAGACACGAGTTGTAGACTGCACTTTACACCATGGAGCTTGATGATAATGCATTTTAACTTACATCGATTTATATAGCGCTTTAGTCTAAGGTGCTTACATTGACATATGAAGAGTTACCCCTTAGTAAGCACGCGTAAATAGTAAGCTACGTTGATTAAAGGTGCAGCTCTGCAGTTGCCTGCTCATGCCACTGCTGGCAGAAGGGCCTCCATCAGAGAGAGAGCGATAGAGAGAGCCTCTCTGGAGGGTATTTGGCCTTCTCTTCCACAGTGGTGAAACGTCTGTGAAGATGTAGGATGAGAATGCCCACATTATACCACGTGGAGATTAAAACAGAACAATGCCCATTTCAACTCACTTGCCAGGAGACTGAACCAGTGGCTCCTGGAGTGCAAGTCCGCTGTGCTAACATTGCAAAACGGCAGCATACCCTGCACCGTAGTATACATACGTAGATCAATACACTAATCAGTGTGATGTGTCCTGCTTGAAATAGCTGTGAGCCTGTGACATTTAAATGAAGGCCTGGTAGATCGATGAAAACTTCCATTACACAATGCATCCATGATTAGAACGTGAACAAAGATGTATGCAGGACTACGGCGTGTGGCAGCGCCCTGAAAACCCATAACTGTAAATGCAGAAACACCGTGCAGCACCTAGATCGTGATGCCGTGGCAGGCACGCGTCACTTGTGCCCATTGGGGCAGGACGCGGTTCGTGTGGAGCACTGGGACCTTCCCGTCATCCGATCTCGCAAGACGACACGGCATGCCGATCGCGTGTGAATACTGCGTACGCACTGCCAGATGGCGGGGGAATTCTGAACACTGCAGACACGCGGCTAAATCGTAACAAGGAGCAGTTGAAACAATGGTGCGGGCTTCTTAAATCCATCCTGCCGGTGTCCACAAGCAGTATAAATTGAGAGCATTAGAGTCAAAAGGCAGGTCACATGATGTGGGGTGAACTGTGGGCACTCCCAGCTCGCCCGAGATGCCTGGCCGGTGTGAAAGTGGAGACCGAGAAACCCTCTCGATGGGCTTCTCCTCAAAGCTCCCTCGAGTGGGCAGCCTTTCGCCAGCATTGACGTGAGCAATCAATTTGCAGGGATGCGGCTTTACCCTTGTGTGTGTGTGTGTATCTATCTATGCTGTATAAATTATATACAGTTTCTGTGGGCAAGTGGCCACGTGTCCCTCTCTGCCTGGGATGGGATGTGGGTTATTTATATATCAGCAGTGTGGGATGAACGGCGTCGGCCACACGATGCCTCTTCTAATGGGGATGAGGTGTCCTGCCGGTTGACCTTTCAATTCTTGAAATGCACGCGGAGAGAAGCGCTGCTGGGCAGTCGTAGCAGCAGCAGCAACATCAGCAGCATCACATCAATCATCCCAGCCCGGTGTCTCCTTTTTATGCAGCAAATGCAGCATTACTGTGGAAGAAAACACGTGTCTCGGTTTCTCTATCACGCACACACACACAGGTCTCCTATTCAGCACTTGGCGTTCATCACCATCAGCCATGGTCAATCAACTGCTGGACTAGGGTCTCCCCAAGTCGCTGCTTTCTCTCAAGGTTTGGGGATGTCACAAAGACAAAGATCGTCCGTATGTCCTTAACAGACTGTTGGGACAAGTGCTGTTAGCGAGCACCTATTAAAGGCCGGCACGGCACACACGAGGGGGTGGGTGGCTAAAATAAAGCCCGAACGTCTTTGTCTCCCAGCGCACTAGGTACTTACTTGAGGCTGAGTCGGCCTAGGGGAGGGCCACGACCGGTTCAGATAATCGTCACTGGTCTTGTCCGTGAGCGGTAATCGAACTCAGGTCGCCAGGTTCATAGCACAGCACCATAACCACTACACTACCGCTCCCCACAATGTAACCATACCACCTAGCACCGACACACGAGCAGATTTCATCGCTCCATCTCCTCAGTGGAGGTCCTCAGACATGTCAATTGTGATGGAGTGACTGCCATTCTGTCACTTCTGTTAGCAAGTACATCTGGAAAGACTTGGCATGGCACATGAAGAGATCATGTGGCCAGAACTTCTGACGATGCTCTCTCACATATAGCTCTACATTTTTCTTATTAACCCAAAGGCCCAGATCAGGTTTAGATGCCACTTTGTACATGGGCAGGAATCAAACACAGATATCCTGTAGTGTAGCATAATTTGATAACCGCTACACTGTCACGCCCGCCTCCATCACAATTATTTATCATTTGCATTCATCATAATCAAGTCACCAAAACGATAAAAGCCTACACTTTAACACTTAAAAATAGAAACTAAGCGGCGTTCAAAAAAATGCTTTTAATGAAATAAATCCGAAATGTGGCAGGTTGTACAAATATCAATATATCAAAAAAATCAAATAAACAGGTATACACTGGGGTTGTTTGTCGACAAAGATCCCACACTATTACCTTCATAAACTGTTGTGCGTGCTGTTAGAAAGCGCCGCTGAATGACAACACAACACACACAAGGGTTGGTGTGGCCGGCCCCACGACTGGCCCCGATTTTGTCCCAGCAGCGCTGATGTCGACTTACACACGGCACCAGGTACTCATTTACTTTGGGCTGAGTCGACCTAAGGAAGGGGGGAGCAGTTCAACATTTTCTCCCGATTGGGAATCTAACGCGACAACCACATAATAACACTATGAGACCTCCTTTTGGCGTCATCTGGTCCAACACCATGTGAGACTAGGCTCTAAGAAAAGCTGTCTCGGGTGTGGACCAATCAACTTCAAGGAAAGTGCATTGATTATCATTATCAGAGTTAAATTTCGATTTAAAGCTTTCGTGACTGCAGCGATTCATCTTCTTGGTTCTTTCGATAAAGTCACGTAGAATGGAAATAATAAAATAATAAAAATATAACATAAAAAAAATATTCTCACTCTGTCTTCTCGACAGACCTATTCTTCACCTGAGGACGGCTGCTTGCGTTGTGGCCGAAACGTCGTTAGAATTATTCTATTGTTTTATTTTTATTATTTGATTATTTCCATTCTACGTGACTTTACCGAAAGAACCAAGAAGATTATCAGAGTTGTTTCTTTTTGTTTGCATTTTGACTGCTTGTGTTGTGGTTATTGCAAACATGATGCCTTGTATAAAGGTGTCAGTTTTTGTACCAGTTGAAAGGGTAAAAACCTATCACTATAACCACATAATAACCCTGCCGTGCACTCTACACATTGTGGTAACAAGACGCTCACCCACATATGTCACCGTGTGTCTCTAAAGTTCAAGGTCAAAGATCCTCACACAGCTTCCAGGCTCGGAGTGCATCTCACCCGGGCCAGTCCCGTCAGCCCGTGGAGACCCATATGTGTGACAACCCACGCATGGATCACACAGCTCGTCCCGACCACCACCACAACCCAGAGGGATGTGTTCGACCAGGAGGCTCTCAGCACACGCCCTGGACGTTACAAGACCACTACGCATGCGAAAGGTGGCATCAATGTCGGGATGTCTGCTCGCCCGGATATTACTGGACTGTGTCGATGCATTTTGGATGTCCCGACTGTTTTATGCTGGGTTCAGCATCGATTGAAAACACTGTACGGTTTGTGTAAAGAATGGATTTGTGTGTTTTGAGGATCAAATGCTTTATCGCAGTTGACTGTAAAATGCTGTTTATAAACTAGCGTTGAAAATGTGGACTTTTGAAACTCCAATGCCATACAGTGCTCGGCTGTTGATGTTTTGTTACCGTCACTGTTAACCTGATGAGATAAAGAACCGGTTATCGATTCACCGCACAGAGGGAGACGTCTAGGGGTCAACTTGAGCGGCGTCCTCTTCACAATCGGCTTGCACAGACCTCACGCCGCCGTGCGGTTTGTACGCCGGTGCGTGCCGCCACTCAAGGGAGTGCACCCACGACTGAAACTCAACTTCGAAGCGGTTACCGGTTCGTTACTTTCATTCACCGGTGATAGGTGCTGAAAACGGTTACCGGTTCACCGACTGTGTGTATCTAACAACCCTAGCGCAGCACACGCACCGTGAATACCGCACTAGACATGCGCTTTGCACGGCTGGATGTTAAGTAAACATTGGTAGTACAGTTCGTAAGATGTAAAGATATTTGTGGTTAAAGAATGCAGCGCAGTCTAATAAAGCATCACACTGCACGCTGTATGTTGAACTTCTTTCGCACCGTACGTCGCCCAGCGTGCTAATTGGAGGTGCGGGGGGAGGACACCAAACTAAACACACTTTTTAATCAGTCCTAAAGGAATGTGTTTGTCAACGTAGACTACGACGATTTAAAAGTGCAGAGCTCCAGTCGCTTTGCAGAGCGTTCCAGACGGCCGCAGAGGCCCCGTGTCCTCGTGTCACTACGCACACCCGCCCGGAGTGATGCACGTCACTTAAAGTGGTGAACACATCGCGGGCGGTGGGAGTTTTAATGTTTATCGTGGTGAGTTGAACTTGCAGGGGGCTATCGCCAGCAACGTCACCCGTAAGATCGCCTAAATATAGAAATGTGTCGTTAAACCCGCCACAACCCGACACAGCCGATTAGTAGCAGGGTTCGTCGCGGATACAGAAGGTGGCAGAGGGTTGCTAATTCAGCGAGGCGGCGTCGTGTTGGAGAGAAAGTCGACAACATCCACGACGCTCAGGCCCATCGCGGCTTCGTAGCGGCGAGCCGATGGCGGAACCCGGAGACTCCGCGCGCTTGAGCCGGAACTAAAAATGCGGCGAGCGCGGGGAGTTGCAGCCCGGAGTAGCCGAGTGGCGGACCGCCTCGCCGAGCACGGTCAGTGTCTCGTCTCAGTCTCTCATCTCACTCAGTCTCTCAGTGTCTCAGTCTCTCACTCAGTCAGTCTCTCACTCAGTCAGTCTCTCACTCAGTCAGTCTCTCACTCAGTCAGTCTCTCACTCAGTCAGTCTCTCACTCAGTCAGTCTCTCACTCAGTCAGTCTCTCACTCAGTCAGTCTCTCACTCAGTCAGTCTCTCACTCAGTCAGTCTCTCACTCAGTCTCTCAGTGTCTCAGTCTCTCACTCAGGTCAGTCTCTCACTCAGTCAGTCTCTCACTCAGTCAGTCTCTCACTTCGTCTCTCAGTGTCTCAGTCTCTCACTCAGTCAGTCTCTCACTCAGTCAATCTCTCAGTCAGTCTCTCACTCAGTCAGTGTCTCACTCAGTGTCTCAGTCAGTCTCTCAGTGCCTCAGTCAGTGTCTCAGTCTCTCAGTCAGTCTCTCAGTCAGTCACTCACTCAGTCTCTCAGTCAGTGTCTCAGTCTCTCAGTCAGTCTCTCAGTCAGTCACTCACTCACGCAGTCTCTCAGTCAGTGTCTCAGTCCCTCAGTCAGTCTCTCAGTCATTCACTCACTCACGCAGTCTCTCAGTCAGTGTCTCAGTCTCTCACTCACTCAGTCACTCACTCAGTCTCTCAGTCTCTCAGTCAGTGTCTCAGTCAATCTCTCAGTCTCTTAGTCAGTCTCTCAGTTAGTCTCTCAGTCACTCACTCAGTCAGTCTCTCATCTCTCAGTCAGTCTCTCAGTCTCTCAGTCAGTCTCTCAGTCAGTCTCTTAGTCAGTCTCTCAGTCAGCCTCTCAGTCTCTCAGTCAGTCTCTCAGTCACCCACTCACTCAGTCAGTCTCTCATTCAGTCTCTCAGTCAGTCTCTCAGTCACTCACTCAATCAGTCTCTCAGTCAGTCTCTCATCTCTCAGTCAGTCTCTCAGTCATTCACTCACTCACGCAGTCTCTCAGTCAGTGTCTCAATCTCTCACTCACTCAGTCACTCACTCAGTCTCTCAGTCTCTCAGTCAGTGTCTCAGTCAATCTCTCAGTCTCTTAGTCAGTCTCTCAGTTAGTCTCTCAGTCACTCACTCAGTCAGTCTCTCATCTCTCAGTCAGTCTCTCAGTCTCTCAGTCAGTCTCTCAGTCAGTCTCTTAGTCAGTCTCTCAGTCAGCCTCTCAGTCTCTCAGTCAGTCTCTCAGTCAGTCTCTCAGTCACTCACTCAGTCAGTCTCTCATCTTTCAGTCAGTCTCTCAGTCAGTCTCTCAGTCAGTCTCTTAGTCAGTCTCTCGTCTCTCAGTCAGTCTCTCAGTCACTCTCTCAGTCACCCACTCACTCAGTCAGTCTCTCAGTCAATCTCTCAGTCAGTCTCTCAGTCACTCACTCAATCAGTCTCAGTCAGTCTCTCATCTCTCAGTCAGTCAGTCTCTCGTCTCAGTCAGTCTCTCAGTCAGTCTCTCAGTCACCCACTCACTCAGTCAGTCTCTCATTCAGTCTCTCAGTCAGTCTCTCAGTCACTCACTCAATCAGTCTCTCAGTCAGTCTCTCATCTCTCAGTCAGTCAGTCTCTCGTCTCTCAGTCAGTCTCTCAGTCAGTCTCTCATCTCAGTCTCTCAGTCACTCACTCAGTCAGTCTCTCAGTCAGTCTCTCAGTCAGTCTCTCAGTCAGTCAGTCTCTCAGTCAGTCTCTCAGTCAGTCTCTAATATCAGTCTCTCAGTCACTCAGTTAGTCTCTCAGTCAGTCTCTCAGTCAGTCTCTCAGTCAGTCAGTCTCTCAGTCAGTCTCTCACTCAGTCTCTCATCTCAGTCTCTCAGTCACTCAGTCAGTCTCTCAGTCAGTCTCTCATCTCAGTCTCTCAGTCTCTCAGTCAGTCTCTCAGTCACTCACTCAGTCAGTCTCTCAGTCAGTCTCTCGTCTCAGTCTCTCGTCTGTCTCTCTTCTTGTGATCCCCATTTAACTCTCTAAAACTTACTATTGTTAAAGGTGTATTTTAAACAAAGATGAATATGCAAAGGGAACACATTTTTAGGAGTCAATTAAGTGTGGGTCACAAGACCACCCTATATGGTACTCTACTACGGTGTTAAATAAAAAAAAAATTAAAATAATTTTATTGGCGTTACCATACATAATGTTTAGGGAAGTTTACGAGTATCTCATGGTACGGTATATGGTGTGGTCATTGTGACCAGGCATGTAATGATTGACTGACTGACTACCTTTCAATTCAGATGACAATGCAGGGCCGTTATTGAAATATAATCACCTGAGAGTTCACGTATATTGTAGAATGTTTGGTGGCTGCACCTTTCGCTGGAAACGATCACACACAACATTTAGGAATCCAACAACATTGTCTCTTCCATGCGTGAGTCGACGCCACGTGTCATAAGTGTCAAGATATAATTCAAAAATCGGGCGTGTGACGTTTCGTGCGTTATCGTCGCTGTGACAATTGTTTGAGTGTTAGTGGTAACAACGTTGCGTTCGCATTCCATTTATAGACGTTTTGTTATAGCGACATCAGTCATGAAATCACACATTTAGCACGCTCTTACAAGGGGTGACATCACAGATTTCAACGCTGACACTTTACAATTCAGAATCAGAATATTTTCACGAGAGGAATCTGATGAGCCATGCAGGTATTTTAACAGATGTCCAGGAGGTATCTTAGATTATGTGGGAATGATCTGCAATCGAACTGGTCAATTGCCCCAGTGGCAAGCATACTGACAGCCAGGCTCATTGTCACATGATGCCACCCTGGACATTCATCACGTAGGCGTATTCATTACAGTTCAGTCCCGTAATCGAAGCACATTCGTCAATTCATTTTTCAGTACTCGGTAAATGTAACATGATGTGCTGAAATATTGGTCTTGGCTTGATCTTAGAACCTGATTTATGAACGTCATTTCTCATTTCCCAAACTCTTATAACACTGCTCGATTCAATACACGTTTTAACTCTTATTACACATCTGATAGTGCTGTTACAGGCCGTGTGACGTTTTAAGCCTTTAGGCCTGTGCTGATTGGCTGTATTAAAAAAAAATCTCGATATCTTAATACGCAATGCTTTGCTACCAAATGTGTCATCCTCTGCGAATTTGAGCGCACCAGCCAATGTTTGAAATGCAGAGGAAGTCTCATTCATTAAAAAAAAAACCCTCTATTTGAAATTGAGAACTTTGTAAAGGTCATGAGCTGCGTCACTTGTTATTAATGCATGATGGAATTATAGCCGGTGCACTCTCATCTGCCACCCAACCCAGGAGATCAATATTGAATAGGTGTATCGCGTTGAAGGGCCGGTACACGCGTACACATCATGATACTCACATGGGAGTGTTACTGCAGTCCCTCCAAGTGCAAGACAAGAAACAGTCTGGCACTATCCAATTCATAATCAACGTTTTTGGGTTTAGATCGCGTTATTTATAAATGTGTCGTAACCCTCCACCACCCGACACGGCCAATCAGTAAAAAGTGTCACGTTGACAAAAGACAAATAGTTCACTGCTTTAGCCCACCGGTGTGTTGAAGCGTGAAACCACGACATTTACAATTTGAGTACGACGTTTCGCTGGTAATTGCATCCGGCATCATCGGGCAATTCGCCAGAATGAATAATATTGGTCGCGAAATCCTACGTGTTAAACTACTCTCCAAGCAGATTTCTATCCAAACATTTACAAAAAAAATGTTGTCCAACCACAGCCGGTGGATTGCACTAAACCACTAGGCGGCCCATTCCAATTCCTGCTTCTTTAGCTTTTCATGACATGTGAAGGTGAACTGCTTGTTTATTTTGTGTTGCAGGTTAGGCGTTCACGGATATGGATGTTGGTGTTGCCATGAAGGGTTAGGGCCACATGCGGCTGTTTAAGGACTTGTTTAGTGACATTATTCATTAAGGAACACCATCTCGTATTCACACGCATTGCGGAGTTTTTTTTACTGAATTGGGAAAAAAAGGTCTCTTGTTTTGGTTGCTGACCCCTGGGTTCGGGTAATGGTAGCATTGCCACCTTTTCCACTACCTAAACATATTTCTCGATCAACCGATGTATATCAGAACTGTGCAGTGCACTGTAATAAAGTTCGCCAGAATGCTGGGACCAGATTCCGGTGCAAGTCAATTCCTGCCAACCCGAACACAGATGCCCAATCCTGGACTGCCTCGGTCGAGCCTGGGCAGGTGGCAACCCTCCTTAGTGGTTTTGGGGCTAGAGTTCGGGGTTATGGGTTAAGGCTAGGTAGGTGTTTAGCGTTAGAGATAAGGGTTTGGGTTTGTGCTTAGGGATGAGGGTTATTTTCTTAAGCCCACGTGTGGGAACAGCAGTATCGGTCTCCTCACGTGTTAAAAACACTGCCAATACAAAACGTGGCCAACCACTCAAATGCATGTGATGTTGTGTAGAGTATGGCAACAATGCATAGGATGGTGTTCCATTTGCATGAATTGTATAATATATTATCCAAGCCCAATTATAAAAAAAAAATATTTTTGTGGCAGATGTTCTCAGTTTCGTCTAAAAGGGGTTATTATAGATACGTCAGCATTGGTGTAGTGTGTGATAAACTCATCCAATCATTGTCCTGATTTACGTGACAATAATTTTGAAGCAGTTTCTTAATTTACAATCCTGTTGGCTTAGCAAGCGCGTTAACTGAGATGTAAAACGTTTTCACTTCTGTAAGACTTCATACCAATGCAACCCAAAACAATGTAGTAATTAATAAATATAAATACATATTACGAGAAGTAAATATACACTTATGCAGTGATGCTGGGGGGGGGGGGAGATTTAATTGTGGTGAAAATGTTTACTTCTTCGACTTTTGCTGAACTCGTGAAGAAATGTCGAGAGTATTTTTCGAGTGCATTCTGTGACTTATGCATGTGACAAAGCATTGCAGTTGCCCGGGGCTTGGAGCGGCAAGGAGTGATGTGCTAATGAGATGGGATGAGCGGTGTGCGCTCTGAGACTGAGCTGGGCAAAGCTGGGCATTTGAATACGTGAGTCGATCCGCTTACCAAATTGTGGGATTGCTGTTGATGATTTTCAATGAAAGCGGCAGGCAAATGGGGCGAACTGGAAATATTTAGTTCGTAGCAAATGTATTGCAAAAATTTTGATTGCCACTTTTATAATTAACTGAAATAAATAACCGTTGCTACTTTGCACATTGAAAAAACACACTCTCCAGTCCTGTGTAAAAAAGACACAAACACATCAAAAACAAGCTATTTCTTAAAATATAAAACTGTGGCTATTTTCAAATTAAGCACACGTTGAGATTTTGTTCCCTGAATGTGAAGTTGTATGTGTTGTTTTGATCCAACAACCTGACCATGAAGTGGATGGGTATCTCAGTTTCAGTCCTTCGTGACAGCCTATGACCAAATCAACCTTAACACGCCCACTATGACAAGCTAAGCAGGCGTGAGCCTGGACAATGCATGGATGGGCGCCCATCATGCACAAAAGACCGGCGCAGTAGGAATTGTGGGCAGTAGAAAACAGCACGGCAACTTCCACTCCTTTCCCTCCACCTTTACAGCGTGCACTGACCAGCACGGTGAAGTTTGTTCGAATATCCGTCACGCCCCACGGGGTGGGCAGAGACCATCATCCAACAGGAGATCAAAACGTACTGTACGTGTGCATCTACGTGTGTAGTTGGATGACTACGATAGCACCCTCTCCTTGCCAGCGAACATTGTCTCAGTCATTGTGTGTCTGTGGTTGTTTTTATGATGCAGGGAAACATTTTCAAGTCTCAATGGTCTCCCAAGAAAGCCCAAAGCTTTCACTGCCATCCACGTGTGACCTCTTTCCTTCCGATACTCAGCGACACTTCTGCAGTGCCGGTAACAAAAGCCTTCATATCGATATAACCTGCACACATTGCAACTCATAATTAACTTAGCGGTGAAAAATTCCCGTGGTATTAATGGTATGACTGCCACAGTGGCGAGATGTTAACTACCTCGCCTAGTGTAGAGGAGTAGTGGAGAGTGGTGGCGTCGTGTGCGCTGTCCGGTGCGGTGACCTCACGGGACGTGGGGTCGCACGCGCTGGGCAGTGCACGTGACATCACCCCTCCGAGGGTATATAAGGGAGACCCCGTAACGTAAGCGGGGTCACTATAGGAACGGGGGAAGTAAACAGGGTGAAGAGGGAACCAGGGATAGTGAGAGGGATCAAATAGGGAGTCTGGGGAGAAGCCGGTGGTAGCCGAAGAGGTGCTTCTCTCTCCGGTCGGTGGAGTCGGCAGACTCCACGATCCGACACGAGAGAGAGAGACCGGAGCTAGCCGGCAGGGACCCAGACTCAGAGTAGGACCCCTAGCCCCTGGGAGTTGTGCACCCTGTGTAGTATTGTAGTATTGACCAAGAGTAATAAACCCTGGCGGAAGCCCCTAACCATACCTCCGTCTCCGAGTACGTCCGTCGGAACCTCTGCAGTGCCGGTAACAAAAGCCTTCATATCGATATAACCTGCACACATTGCAACTCATAATTAACTTAGCGGTGAAAAATTCCCGTGGTATTAATGGTATGACTGCCACAGTGGCGAGATGTTAACTACCTCGCCTAGTATGCAGGAGGTCGTGTATTCGATCCCGACCCTGGCGCCTGCTGCTGTATATTTGGAGTTTGCGTGTCTCTCTCCACATAGTCGCGTGGATTTTTCCGCGGGCCCTTCGGTTTTTCCCCTCCACATTTATAAACATGTGTTTCGAGTATTTAGCTGCTGTACATTTCCACATGATCAGCCACTTTGTTGAGCTATCATTTGTGGCCAGGTCGCTACTGAAAAAGAGCTAAATAGCTCAGTGGGCCATACCTTGTAAAATAAAAAAATAGTTTGAGGTTAGTTGAATTTACATATCAATGTAGAAGTACACATTTAACCAAAGCATTGACATTTGTGTTGTAGGCTATTGCGGGGTTCTGTTTTACTGTACTATGCTCCGATGTCTGTGCGCGTTGTCTTGACCAAACAACCCCCATGATGTGTACGACGCGGAGATGCCCTCATCCAGCAGTGAATTGACAATGGTGCCATACACATGTACGTGGAGAAGTACAAGTTCTAACTTTTCGTTTTCAAGTGCCGGTCGCTGCTTGAGATGATCAACAAGTCTTGGCTTGTCTGGCGTCTCTATAGCAAGAGAGTTATTTTTGTTGTTGTGTGGAGGATTTTTGCTTGAGGCTCATTTAAACCATTCCACTACATCAAGTCCAGTTTCGTCAGCCACTGCTTGAGGATTTTCCTTCCGTGAAGATATGTTTACACAACTATAGCGATATAAAGGAATGACATTAAGTAAACTCTCCGGTTGCTTGTGAAGATTTACAAGATCGTGTAATTGTACAAGATTGTGTATATGTATGTGCTTAATGCAGATCTACCATGGATAATTTTACGTTTATATTTATTCCTTTATATTACCCATCTTGTGAATCCATCTTATATTGTGACTGCGAATAGGATGGTGAGATCCTGACTCCTCTTCTGATATATTCATTTTGTTACTTGATGTAATCATTGTTTAGCTGTCCTCTCTATTCACATGTTGAGGTACATTGATGTAAGATATTTAATTTGGGAAATTCTTCGACGGAACAATCTTTCAATCTCCAGCACACATGATTTACTTTGACATGGATTATAAACATCAAGTATGACAATTACTGTGGGAAAAAATATATGAAAGGTGCATGATTTGGAATTGTACAGAGAGACAGAGGAACGCATGGATCTGAGAACAAGTGCAAATTAGAGACGTCATTGAACGTTGAGGAAAGTGAAGCGGACCTGGCGTGGACGAATCGCCAGAGGGGATGATGCCCGACGGACGAGACTGGTGACAGAATGGCAGCCAAAGGCGGGATATGCCTGTGAGGATGACCATGGCAGAGATGGAGCAATGATGTCAGCTCAGTGGTGTCGCATTCATTCTGGCTTGTGATGATGTGTGCACTGCGTGTGTGGAAGTTGTCTGTAAGTTGAACTTCTTTCACACCGTACGTAGCCAACCGCACTCATCGGAGGTGCGGGGGAAGGACAACAATCTAAACACAAAAGCAGTTCTAAAGAAATTCCTTTTCAATCTCGATTGAAAATTGCATTGCTCCAGTGGCTTCCTGATATCGGAGGAGCGCTCCACATGGCGCAGAAGTGCCTCAGGAAGCAAGCGATGCAGTGTCCGTCTTTGTTCGATGGCGAGACAAAAGCCACTGCAAGTGTTGCCTGTACATCCCCATTTTTCTCAAAATGAGCACGTGGAGCATTGTGATGTCCCCCATTCTGTACTGAAGAGGCACGAGTGGCCGGGCATAAAAGCTGCTGATGAAGCCCCCTTCATGTGCCTTGACCGCCTTGATATGTGCCCGGAAAGAGCACTCACCCCCATGGTCTTTAAGGCTAAATGGGACACCTGTGTGTCTATATATAAAAACCCTTTTAAGCCCCACGACTACAAGAGGTACTTGCAGGAGCGTTCTGCTGTCAGCCGCACAGCTCGTGTGTGAGCGGTGTGTGGGCGTGCATTCCTAGGACGTGATGACAGCCAGGAGTGGGTTCACCTGGCTTGGGATACGGCCGCTTTGAGTCGCCGTAGCCACACGTTGCACAGTAACACTGCCAAGTCAATCCCGAAAATGTACCAAGAATCATTGTATTTTCTAGAAATTCCCTGTGAATTACAGCCTAGCTTTTACAACGTCCATTGGTCTACAGGAAAATTAGAGGTCCGAGAAAACCTGAGGGATTGAAGGCACAAAGAGCTCACACTCATTATGCACACCGTGCGAGGGTTGAAATTTGATTAATTCGAGATATTTTTTTTACAATTCCATTAAACATATTGTATTTGCGCATTAGCCTAAATGTCACATTCCAGCCCTTTTTGTTAATCTGCTTCTGGATGAAGGCCTCTACACACTATCTAGTTCATGCTGTTTGCTTAACCATACTTAACCATATTTAACCATGCTTAACCATATTTAACCATGTTTAATCATACTTAACCATACTTACTCTTAGGTTTTTTCGGTAAAGTCACGTAGGTAAAAAATAAATAATAATAGAAAAAATAATAGAAATAAAATAATAAATCACGTTTCGGATGCAACACAAGCTTCCGTCTTCAGGTGGAAGAGCCACAGCACAATTGCTGTATCATACTTATATTTAACCATATTTAACCATGCTTAACCATGCTTAACCACGCCGATCAGGTACTCGTTGGTGAGAAGCAAACTCGGGTTGCCTGGTTCATGGCGCGGTGTGCTAACCACTGCACGACCACTCCACCAAATTGTCAGATGAGCTTGAAAGTTGCTGAGCAAGTGAGAAGTGCTGCCCTCTGCTGTGTGTGCACCAGAGGTCGCTTCAAGGGATCTCGGAGGTTGCTCTGTGACATCCACTTCCGTGGGCCGATCTCAAACATGAAGGCTTTTCGCACGGCTTTGCCAGAGATCTGAAAGGAAATTTAATCTCATCACATGACGCCAATGGCACAATCGGCGTGAAATAATGGAGAAAACATTACATATTTTCACGGAATATCACTTGCATAATGTATGTATATGTAGTGGCAGCGCGGATGTCACTGTGTGGTGCCGGCCCTAGAGGGGCTCGGTGAGCGCTGTCCGACGGTGCTGAGCGGCACCGCGCCCTGCGTGCAGTGCCGACCCCTACAGGATGGGGGGTGAGAGTGCCGGCCATGGTAATGGGGTTACTAAGGGCCGTGGCACTCTGGTTGACCCCGAAGGACACGTGACTGGTAAAGTCTACACGGGGCCCCCAGGTGGGGGCTAGGGGTGGTCACGTGTCAGGGTCGAGATCCTGCTCGAGGGTTCTAGAAGATGGTCGTGGCTAAGGGCGGAGCCAGCCCCGCCACGGAGGATAGAAGCCGGGTCCCCTAGAGGGACCGGCTGCTGTTGTTTATCCTGAAGAATCTACGTTCTACGTCCTACAGAGTCTCCAACACGTGGACCCGGACCCAGGCCAGGGTCCGGTCCGTCGTAGCTACTCCAGTGTAATTAGTGCAGTTGGCCTGGTGGTCCACCACCATAGGTTGTCATCTTGTTCAGGGGTAGTACCCCGTGTATTGACTTGAAGAAATGTGTTGCCTCCAAGAAGTGCGTCTGCGACTCAGTTGAACCCACGACACGTGCATGTTGAACTTGTTCTGCATGGTGTGTCGTCAACCGTGCTAATCAGAGCCGCGTAAATAATCCCAAGCTAAAATAACAGATTTTATCCAACAAATGGATGTATCGTTATATTAGTAACGCGCACACAACGTGTGCACGCAGTGAATTGAATGCAATTAGTGAGCAGGTCGCGTTCTGTTGTCTGGGCGTGATTGAATTAGCGAGCAGCGCTGAGCACGCGGGCGGCTTCTCAGCAGATGCCGTCTGGTAATGCGATAGGGGGCAGGTAATGGGATAGGGGGCAGGTAATGGGGTATGGGGCAGGTAATGGGGCCTGTGCAGCTCCCGCCACTCGATTATCCCCCTGCCCTGCTGCTGGACTCACGCGAGCCGACCGGCCTGCTGCACGTGGTGCCCTCACCCTCACCCCCACCCTCGCCCCCACCCCCCCACCCTCGCCCCCACCCCCCCCACCCTCGCCCCCACCCCCCCCACCCTCGCCCCCACCCCCTCACCCTCGCCACCGCCCCCACCCTCGCCCCCACCCCCCCACCCTCGCCCCCATCCCCCCACCCTCGCCCCCACCCCCCCACCCTCGCCCCCACCCCCCCACCCTCGCCCCCACCCCCTCACCCTCGCCCCCGCCCCCACCCTCGCCCCCACCCACCCTCGCCCCCACCCCCCCACCCTCGCCCCCACCC